GATTAGTTATTTTCATTCAAAATGTTGGTCGGGATTACCAAGGGACTTCTGCAGACTTCTGAATAACCCTCATTAAGGATTAAACTGGACATTAAGGGAAGTGTTACTAAAACCGACTTTCCCATCCCTCGGACGTCAAACTACAGGCAACAAAATGTGGCATATTTATAAAATTAATTACGCATGAGTGCAACCAGTTATATTTTCCAGGAGTTGAATGAGTTACCATACTGAGAGCACAGGTACTAGCTAAATCTCAAGATGTATGTGTTTTTATGAGCTTGTGTCGCTGCACGAAACAGCTGCGAGGAATTCGGCTCATCAGTGCGTCCCTTACCAATCCCCGTGTGTTTTCTGACATGTGGACTCCAAGTTCCATGCCACCGTTTTGATATCATCGGAAATTAGAGCGCGAATTCGGAGCAAAGCCTTCAAAACAAAGCTTTTTAGGCTCGGTCCGGAAGTTGACATGAACATTTGAGCTAAAATCCATCAGCTGCTGCCGAATAGCCGAGTAATATTTACAGGTTGCCAGCAGGCAGTCAGTAGTGTATAAATACTGAATGACTTACTATACCGACGGCACCGAAACATGCCTTAGACTTTGCCCTGTGTCTAACAACCGATTGCTCAGCTGAAAGGTCGCGACCAGGCCGAAATACAACTGACCCGACCCTGAAATGCATGGTTACATGGTTGTTACTTTCATTTGGCAGACGCCTGCACTTGGTGGCCAACTTTGCAAATGGGACTTTCGACAGCACTTACATCGTATTCGTTCCCCCAGACTACAGTTCTTTAATCGAAGTTTGGTTATCTATCCCGAAAATGAAAGTATACTCACCTTATTTGTTTTGTGGTAGCGTGCAACATAGTCACGAAAAAGAAAACCTGACAACGTTATACGACGGCATCATCGGGAATTACTTCTACAGATGTGACTCAAAACCAGGTTCTAGTGACGCATTATAAAACAGACAATGCTGAATGCCTGAACGACTCGAGGTTTAGATGGACAGGCACAGTTTATAAATATAGCGTTCATATGTAATGGCATTACTCGTGACTGGCTCTACCGGTGCCGTTTTTTTCAGGCATTATGAACAGTGTTCAACAATGAGGTTGGAGTGATTTTGGGGGTTGCCGCGCTCGCGGGATACAGAGTGGTCTGGGTTTTTATTTTACTGGGGGGAGGAGTGATTATATTTCAGTTTAACCACGGGGTTCGGATTCAGTCAACTTTTTCTTTAAATACCCAGTGTTTTGAAATATCGAAAGATGCGAGTAATGGTTGTCACTGAGTTTGTACGGTTTAAAAATTGCCGATTTCAAATGGTCTTTCTTCAAAAGGTTGAATGACGATGTACAGACAGCTTCCGACTTGACCCGAGCCCGAAAGTACGCAAGTCGAAATGGGAATCGTCCATATTAATACTCTTACGAATCTTGAGTCACATCCAGCCGTTCTCCACCGCCTATTTCTCTTATACAAAATCATAGCATACTGTCTACATACTTCCATAGGGCGCATCTAGACGGTCTGTTTCTAGAGATAATCCTTGTGGGCGGTAGGAAGCTGGGAAATCTGATAAGGGGTCCTGAATTTAATGCCATTTCAATAAAACACATCGTCATAGAGGCAGATTAATTCATTTGGCATAAATATGGATCCCATTTTTCTAAAAAAAACATTAAATACCTTTCACGCAATAACAACAAGAAGAAGTTCAATATCCACCATGCGTGGAAGAACGCGTTTATGCTTAGTCCACAGCAAGCCCATTGGTACGGATTTTCTGACTCAGATTGTGCGTATGTTACCGTCTACAATATAGTAAAGCAGAGCTGACACAAACAACAAATAATTATCAAACACTGTTGCGTAGGGGCGGCATCCGGCATTTTCTTGAAAAAGTGAAAGACTAAAGAATGTGGTTTCGGGAGGGAGGAAAGGTACTTGGAGCTGAATTTTCGAATTGTTAGAGCTGCTGTAAGTGAAATCTGACGTGATCCCTCATTTACCCAGATTCTTCGTCCTGGTTATTTTTGCCACCTGATTTGTGGCATAGCTGGGGTGCTGACTTATCTGAGTAATCAGTCTGCGCGTCGTTTGTTTGTCCCCAACTGACTGGTTTGATAGTTCTGGCAACTTGCCAGTATGGTCGCTAAGCCTGTGGAAGAGTGGTCCAGCTGATGAGATGGCCTGCTTGGCCTGATGACCCGTCCGCTTTGCCCTGCAAGTTAAAAAATATTGTCAGGGCGTCTCTGCTCGACCGCAGTGCTGTCCTCGTCCGGTCTAACACAGCCTTCTTATCCTCTTCACCGTGAAGGTCGACGTGGCTGTTGACCAAATTGTTAACTGAAAAATCCGCCTCCAGTGTAAAGCGTTTAGTCTTCAGACGTCTTCGGTGTAGGATGATCAATCCTCAGCAGTCGATAGTTCAGCCATACCCATTAGTGTGAGACTTTAATTGAGAGTTGGGGTCGGGTTTTCATGTTGCGAGCTGATGTTCGTGTGTGCATGTCGATGACCCTCGTCCGGCAAAAACCGGAAAAAGGCTTGGAGTTGAATGGTGCTTATCTGCAGGAGGGTTTCAAAAGTAGGACAAGGCAGTGCAGCAGCAGATGGAGGCAACGATCGAACGGAGTTGCCACGAGAGTTGGGTCGTAAGCCTAGTAGAGATCGACGTTGTGAAGAGGGTATAATCAAAGTTGCTCCACTTTGACATATAGCTGGCGAAATCTCTCACCAGCCAACGGTCGGACAGGCTTGTCCCTATTATTCTTTCAAGAATGGTCTTCTCTTGGCCCCGCTGCAGTATTTAATTAGTCAATAAGTGGTTGGCGCGCGAATTTACAGCACGACGACTACTTTCATAGTATCAGTACCGCCAGGGGAACTGAGGTATATTTGCAGGTCCTAACGTAATCTTACCTGTAAGAGGATATGTTTTTGTTTTTCATTTCGGAAGTTCAGTGAGATAATCAGAAATACAAGAGAAAAAGCCACCTTATACACTTGACGGTGCGACTGTAAAAAGTATTCCAGTTTGGGTGTTAACAGGGATGCAGACACGAAAGAGTGCTGGTTTGTAGACGTAGACACATACTATTCGGAAGAAACTGGGCGAAACGCTTGTTGTACGAAAATGTAACACGGACTTACGTGGCAAACAAACGGGAGCATAAACTGCTTAAGCCAAATTAACGTCTGCGTGCATTTATTATCGAGGTTATATCTGTTGTATCATTTTACCTTAGATGAATGTTACTTTTGAACAAGAGGACCTAGGCGTGTGCAATTTGGGCAAGAACGCACTTAGTGTATTCCAAAGTAAGGGTGCACGCAGTCCTCGGGGAAAAATTTACGATCACAAGCAATAAATGATCAGTTAGGGAAGGAAGCAGAAACTAGGCAAACCGCTTTGACATGTATGACACTCTGGTTAAGCAAACGGGAGAGATACCTTTTGTCACGCTTTGAGAGATCCTCGGCATACCATTTTGGGCAGTTGTTGGTGTCAACTAAATTTTGTCCTTAATTTGCTACCGATACTAATAGAGTTGCTATAACAAAGGTCTATAATGCTCTTGCAACAACAGCAATGCTGACAAAGGTAGCAATTACTGGTGCTGCTGCTATCACTACTGTTATCACTATTGGTACTCAACTACGTTTTGTACTACTACTACTACTACTACTACTACTACTACTACTACTACTACTACTACTACTACTACTACTACTACTACTACTACTACTACTACTACTGCTACTACTACCACCACCATCACCACTACTACTACTACTACTACTACTACTAATACCACTACTACTACTACTGCTGCCACTACTACTACTACTACTACTACTACTTTTTATACAACTAATACTACTACAACGTTTTGTACTACTTATACTACCACTAGTGCCAAATGGCGGGGTAATTCGGTCCTCCCCGCAAGATGGAGGCTCAGGCTGCAATAGCTCCTTCTAAACACGACCCCCATGGCCATCGCACTCAGCTGGGATTCAAGTCGCCCCTTCTTGTTTGGACGTGAAACCCTGGTCCCTTTTGCGCGGACCGGGCGTGTGAGAAAGGCGTAGACGGGTTGTTTAGCTTTGCCAGATCACGCCCCGGTCGTCCTGACCTCTGACTCCCGAGACGGGACCCAGATGGGTGAGATAGGAGAGATTGAGGTGGATGCAGCAAAAGTCTACTATCCCTGTAAACTAATTCACGTGCAAGTCACCACCCATGCACCCGTGGTGTTGTGAGGCACACTGTGGACATCGCTCACTATGGCCGAGCTATCGCACTACTACTACTACTACTACTACTACTACTACTACTACTACTGCCATTGCATATAACGATGAATATTTTGCCACTGTTACTGTTCTGACGCAGCTGTGAGGACGCATGCGCCACATCGGTGTGCCAGTTTAGTAAAGTTAGCGCACCGAGTGGGTCGACTGAAGTAGGGGCACAGCTACTGAACAAGGTCCATCGGAATGACGCTATCTGGGAGAGCCGAAAAATAGAACTGCCTACCTCCTACACGGGCGGTTGCAACTGCCGCGTCTGAAACCGCGAACCCTGGAAACATATGAGGAGTAAGATTTTACCACAACAGTCCACTACAGCGAGGAGCAGCCAACGACAGTCCAAGCCTTTATTATCTACATGCTTACTCGGGAAAACAAAGACAATGGTTACTGAATTTACGGCTTTTCTTCGAGCCCCCATGGGTTGCAGTTATTTTATGAGATCAGAGTTGCCGACAGTGGATGGACACGCAAGTCTACATCTGAGGCAGATAGATTATGGATGCAGCCTAGCAACCAACAGCAAACAACACAAGTTTGACACGTTATTGTGTAAGGCCACCTGATCTAGTGTCAGGTCTTTTCCATACACAGTACACTTGTTTCCTTCTAAACAATCAGGGCTGAGCGTTGGTTGAACCATGCGAGGATCTGTCCAGTCGAGTCCTTAATGGAGAAGCGTGAGGACGACCCATCAGTCAGGTGACGGAACGACAGTTAACCGATTTATTAAATGGGCGGAGGGTCAGCCCTAGCAGTTGCGTGGATAACAAAGAATTATAATCAATTCCCTCCCCCTTTCTACCTGAAAGCAACCGCCAGTCTTAACTATATCCCGTGAACACAGCAAACACCCAACACCATTCCAACATGATTGCGAAATGTTGTTCAGAATGCCTGGGGCGAGTTGAATCTCCATGGAATCAGCGCCTGTAACGACAATGGCCTCCATCTGCTGCGAACCTGCGCAGAACACCGCCGCCTCCTGACCAGGACCTTCTTCCGCCTTCCAACGCGGAAGAAGGCAGCGTGGATGCACCCCGATCACGGCGCTGGCAGCTGTTGGACTACGTTCTCGTCCGGAGCGAGATCAACAGGACGTGCTGGTGACCAGGGCTATCTGCGACGCCGAAGGCTGGGAAGATCACCGTACCGTCCTCTATAAGATCAGACTCCGACTGCAACCGCGCAGGAAACCACAAGGTAAGCAGCCACCAAGTAGGGTAAATACAATTTTGCTGAATCTTCTTGCTCACCGTGTACATTACGTGTACATCAGTTAGGCCGGCACCTGGAAGAACTGCAGATTCCGGACGACAACGCCACCGTAGTACCTCAATGATGTCAACTCAATGATGTTCTCAGAAGCGCATGTCGCCAGCACCAGGACTGGTTCAACGACAATGACGACGACGACGACGACGACGACGACGACGACGACGACGACGACGACGACGACGACGACGACGACGACGACGACGACGACGCGGACATCAGTAACCTGCTCGCCGAAAAAAAGTTGCACAAAGCCTGCATCGACGGTCGGATCAATGAAAGCAAAGCGGCCTTCTTCCAATGTTGTCGCCATGTAAGGCAACGAATACGGGAGATGCTGGATGTGTGAATGACTCGAAAAGGCGAGGAAATTCAGGAGTATGCAGACAGCAATGAAAAAACGAACTACTTCGCATCATTCAAGACCGCCTACGGTCCCACAATCAAAGCAGCTGCGTGTGACGCCCTGAGCTGGGTTCTTTCTTGGCTTAGAGATTATTTTTCATTTCGCAAACAGTTTGTCCTGTCGGGAAAGAGAAAATCTTCTATTCTTCCAAATAATTGTGGAGTTCTACAAGGTTCCATCTTATCCCCTCATCTTTTCTCTCTACATACTGATGATTTGAGATCGCCAAACGACTGCCTGTATGTTAAGTATGCCGATGACATGGTCGTAGACCACCCACTCAAAAACCTGACTCACCTACAGTCTTTAAAGGATGGCTTAGATCACGTCTCCGCATGGTCGTCGAATAATGGACTCCTACTCAACAATCAGAAATCAGTACAGTGTGTGTTTCGATTGCGACCCTCTCCCATTCCTGAACCTTTGGATATTCTTCCCAATGAGGTATCCTCTTTCCGGTACCTAGGTGTTACTTTGTCCTCAAATCTGTCTCTCTTCATATGGAAACCCTTTTAACAAAAATTCAAGAACTTGTTTATTACATTCGTCGTCTACGTTCATATCACACACCCCAGTCCTTAATCTGGCGATTCATAGATGGCTGTATTCTTCCACTCATTCTTTATTGTTCTCCAGTTATTTTTCCAGCTTTACTTAAAAAAGATCCAATTATTTTTAAACGTGTCATTCGAATGCTCGTCTCTGCTGCTGGTGTTTCCTATCATATTTTAGTTGATATCATCGTGCAGCGACACTTCAATACGGTGTAGCAATTTGCTGACCGAATTCTGAATGACACCGTCCATCCCCTTCATAATGAGTTAATGGCTGCGAAATCCTCACGCCCCGTGCGTCGATGCTTCCGCCACATCCCTTGTCGCACTTATCAGAATTCCATACTGCCATTTCTAGCCCTGTATCTCACCTGCAAAGATGCTGAAAAACAAAAGCTAAAACTTGATCTTGCACCTTAAAGTCCTTTTTTATATATAATTATGTCCACCTGTCCAATACCTGTTAATCTCTATGGTAATCACTGTGTACTGGAGAACCGTTTTTTGCTGAAAGTTTGAATGTTATTTTCAAAATAAAGCATTCCTCTCTCTCCCTCTCTCTTTCTCGCTCTCTAAGAGGGACAGCGCTGACTGCCAACGCCGACGGAAGAACACTCCTAGCAGAGAAATCGTTGATTTTGACAAGCTGGGTCGAACACTTCTGGAGTGTTCTCAAGCGCCTATCTCCGACGCCGTTATCGACCGGCCGCCCAACTGGAAAGTAAAAAAGACCTGGACCTCGCATTCTTTCCCAGCAACTGTTAGATCCGTAAACCAGACGTCCAGCGGAAGAGTACCGGGATCCGACGTACGCTCCGCCAAAGTCTACAAGCCCGGTGGCCCCGGATGATAGACAACCTACAAATTAGATTCCAGGAGACATGGCGCCAAGGACGAGTTCCCCAGGATTTCATGAATGTACCAATCGTCCATTCCCACATACGAAATGGGAACCGGCAACTCTGTGATAACCACGGAGGAATCAACAATTACCAGGAAGATCTTTGTTCGCGTCCTCCCCAACCGCCTCAACGGTCATCCCGAACAGGAACATCTCCCGGAAAGCTATTGTGGTTTCCGATGCCACCGCGGAACCACTGACATTATATTTACCGACCGCCCGCTCAAGAGGAATGCCGGGAAATGCTGGCCCACCTTTACACTCTCTTCGTGGACTTGACAAGAGTCTTTGGCAGGGTTAGTCGTGGTGGACTGTGGAAAATCACACAGAAATTTGCCCGGCCTGAGTGATTCGCACACATGTTGCGTCAGCTCCACGACGGAATGAAGGCGTGCCTCAGGGACAACCGGGTCGTCTAAAAAGCATTTCCAGTAACCAACGGAGTAAGGCAGGGTCACGTACTCGCCGCCACCCTCTTCAGCTTCATGTTTTCTGCCACTTTGAGAACGCCTATCATGGTGAGCATTCCCGGATTCGCATCGTCTACAGAACAGACGGACGTCTCAGTAGCCAGTGCATGTAGACCCGAACGCATCCCTCCACGACCACTATCCATGATCTGCTCTTCGCGAAAGCTTGTGCCCTCAACAATGTGACGGAACCAGAGTGATACGGAACAAGGACCCCTTCGTTCGCGGCTGCTTCAACATCAGGATGACCTTCAATCCATAAAAAACGGTGGTCATGCATCAACCACCCTCAAAGCTGCTAACCTTGTTCTTCGCATCCATGTCAACAACACCCAACTGTTAACCGTGGACAGCACACTCCCACGCCGCATCAAAATCGACGACGAAGTGACTAACCGGATCTCCAGAGCCAGCCAAACCTTCGACTGGTTGCAGAACTCAGTATGCGATTGCCATGCTCTCCACCTCAGCAGCAAACTGAAGATCCACAAAGTTGTCCTTTTGCTGGCGTTGCTGTATGTTGTGGAAATCTGGACAGTCTACAAGAAACAAGCGCGGAAACTTGATCACTTCCACCACAGTTGTCTCTGTGGGATATTAAAGCTGTAGTGGTAGGACAGGATGCCGGACACAGAAGTTTTGGAACGCACTGGAATCCTCAACATGCAAACTGTGCGACGGAGCGGTTACCCCATGAGAATGGACGATAAGCACCTACCAAAACAACTTTTCTATGGATGCTCGTCGACAAGGAGTTCAAACCTGTCGCTATAAGAGCACCTTGACTAATTCCCTGAATTAATTACAAGTCAACCCAAGGAACTGGGAAGACATTGATGCGCAGCATCGCCGTGTGCAGCTACCGTCGATCACCGTCATCTCCATCATTCCTGTCGAAACCTCCACTTCGACGACGACCACCACAGCCCCCATTATCGCTACCGATCAAAACGCTCCCGACGGCCTGTCAGCCACCACCCTCATCATTACCACACCCCCCCCATCCAGCGAACTGGACTCGGTTCGAACCTGTCCACACTGCGATGACACATTCACCACACGCATCGTCCTGTTCGGTCACTTCTAAATCTATCGCACTGCGACCGAAGCACCAGTGCCAGGAGTCCCCATATGAACTCGTCGCATCCGCGATCACCGTCCGCACTGTCAACGTACATTTTTACACCGTATGGGCCTATTGAGTCACATGCACCTTCATGCATGCCATCGCAAATATGACCATACCACCACACATTCTCCCATCAACAACACACATGAACACCTCTAACCTTCCATACCACCGACACCTATCACGTAGATGGAAAGTGTGCTCTTCGGTCCTTCCTCCATGAGGCTTCTCCGCTGCATATAGGACCCTAGAGGTCTGCCCCTTGTGTGTGAAATCCTTTTTTTAATCGAATTATAACTCGCGGGGAGAAACTGATTAAATACAATGACCATAAACGTTCAGTACTGTGCTTGAACAAGGATATGCCATCAAACAGTTGAAATCGCCGCACTCATTAAAAGAAGCTAGTGGTGAGTGTTTAATGGTCTGACAGAGGAGTGATCCATCATGATTTCATGAAACCTAGCTCATCGATCACAGCAGAGGTATAGTGCAACCAGCCGGAGCAAGTGATCCAAAGACTTCCAGAAAAAAGCTTAAACTGGTCACCCGATCGACTTCCATTCCATTGAATGCCAACGCTGGACCATACACCGCACAACTGACAGTGGAAAAACTGCAGGAGTTGGAATTTGAAGTTCTCCATCATCCACCTTAATCACCAAGTGTTGTCGCCCTGACTATCACTTCCTCCGGAATTCAGATAACAATTTTAGGAAACAATTTAATTCCGACAATGCTGTAAAACTGGCCTTCCAAGATTTCACCGCCTCTCGATTACCAAACATTTACAGCATCGGACTAAACGAGCTACCGCAGAAATAGCGAAAGGATATTGACAGTATGAGTGCATATTTTGATGAATAAAACTGTCCCTTGTATTCACAAAATATTAAAGAACATTGATTTTTTTTGAAAATTGCATATTTGGTGACCCAATAGTTTCATGGCAGGCTTGAACCCCCTTCACCAATGTGGCATTCCGCTACAGGTAATCAGTAATTTTTTTCTGCTCTTGTTTACACAACAAGGTACAGGAGGCTTCTAAAGGAGAGAGTCCTGACACTGGCTTAGAACATGCCGCCGGTAGCTCCTTCATGACAACATGTCCCGTTCACTCGTGCAGACTTTTTTGGAACAGTTCAGATGGGTATCAGTATCCAATTGCGTCTGTGATTGGATCGAAGTCCACATTTGGATCTAGTTAAACAGGCCTACGGTTGACTCTAGTCACGGGGCCCACCGATCCATACCATGTCCTACTGTATTGGTCCTAGGCTCCCTTTCACCCCTAACTAGCGGACCGAAAGCGCTTAGTCAAGATATGGTACTGAAATCGTTGCACATGTATACACAGTCCGACGGACCATTACCCCTCATCGTGTTCTGTGCAAAAATCGGCAATTTTTGCATTCGCTTACAACCTTTGCACTTAGTGCGGCTCTTTTATTGGGCCTAACCAGCTATACTTCGTAAAATAAATGCATGTGGGTTAGTTGGTCCGGTTGAAAATGCCCTAAAATAGGCGCTAAATCACTAGCGACAGTCAAAGTACTACAAAAAGCCTTTTGGATAGAAGTGTTTTCAAACGAAACTTTGCCACGCGTCGCCAGACTGTATTGCGCACCACTAGCCGATTTCGTTTTTTTCTAAAAGCGAAGTTCTGATACCTGCATTTTTTTGCCGACAGCAGAATGTTCGCTAGGTCTTCAAGTAATTTTTTGGATATTCTAGTTCTACTTGTTTAAACGTTATAAACACTGAGACTGAGATGATAACATAAAATAGTAGAACAAGTGAATCAGTTGCCTATCTTATTTATTCCGGGGGTTAAAAATCCTTCGGACATTGAGGTTTGGTATGAGGTAAAACACTTTTTTCTTGTCTTCTACAACCTGCCCGTTGAGTGCAAGTTCCTTCAAAGGTAATACGGTCATTCTAGGGTTAGATCACCAAGGGACAGACAGGGGAATATGGACTCACCGAATACTGAAGGACACCTAGAGCTAAATTCCAGAAGGCCCCTCTCCCGCGTCCCACCTTTGGCTTAAAGCATCCTAAACCCTAATCTTTGACCTAAAACCTAAACTAACTCCCAAAATCCTAACCCCCCATTGGAATTTAAGGTAAGTCCACCTGTAATACGGGGATTTGTCCATATCCCTGTGCCAAACTCACTATGGTTTCGTACAGGTTGTCTTTAACTGATTTTATACGTCCTGCCTCTTCTTGGCTGATGCGTCAATTTGGAATACCTATAGACAGCCATTTAGTACGGATGGGGATAAAAAAGCTTCTTCGAAGCCATTTCGGCAAGAGTGCGTTCTCGGCTTCTTCTTCCTGATAAAAGCCAACTGCGTGCATGCCAATCCCATAAAGATCCTAGCAAATACCTAGTTTAAATTGGTAGAGGGATGCCCACCGATCGTGTTACGTGACACGCCGGCCCCGTTTTGCGTCTTGGGGCTCAATATCGAGCTCTTCTGGCAGCTGCGCAGCCGCCAGCAATATAGGCAGAGGCAATAATCTAGAGAATGAGGGAAATTGGAGGGCTCATCTAACCAGGCGACATTTGATGTGAGGGACCATCGACCAGTCAGACTGGCGCAGAGTGCTTTCTCTCCCTAAGCTATCACAGCTACGCCTGTGAGCGCTGTCCGAATTAATCAATACTCCATTCTTCCTGATATTTAGTTTAGATTGTTTTTCTTCGTGCGTTCATACCAGCGTCTTGGCAAGTTTGATGCGTCAGTTCATTAGTTCTAATTCTGCGACCCGATGGTGTGCGTTGGAAATCCCCCCTTCGTGAAAACAGTGAAAGGATTATGGTTTCTTCTAGACTGGATCGACCGATCTAGTCGACATTTCAGATCTCATTCACTCCTGCATTCGGGTCATGCCGGTGACAGTCACTTTCGTGTGATAACGAGCAGTCTCAAGCGCAATCAACAAAACCCGAATTCAACCGACAGAGTGTCTGGCTGAGTGCCAGAACGACAACGGGTTGGAACCCCAAGTCGTTGCAGGCTGATGGTTGCTTGTCTGATGAAGGGAGAATAAACGGAAAACGACTAGCCCAGTCTCGCTTGTCTATGTTGCTAATACCTGTCGTTCACTGATACTTAGTCGCTATGCGACGAAACAGGATGAGAATATTCCAACTGACAATAACGTCATTTGGGTGAACACCACTCCCGCACTCTCACAACTCTCTCATTCCTACCAACGTCCTACTACCCGCTCACCAAGCGCAGGTTTCCCTGAGCTACTTGATTTCATCGGATTTGCTTAACAACGATGGAATCCAGACACCCCAAACACCTCGCTAGGATCTTTAATCCATCTTTACA